TCTCTCTCTGTGTCTGTGTAATGTGTATGTGCATTTGTGTGTGCCCAGTTGGAAAAAGTACATCTTTGGACTCCAACTCTTATTAGAGTCCCTGGCAGAACCCAGAAAAGTGATTTTGGGATGCAATTCCCAGAATCCACCAGTCAGCATGGTTGGTGGGTCGGATTGTGTTTGCTTGTGTGTGTGTGTATGTGTGTGCTCTCAATTTGCCTGTTGACTTATGCCAACCCCATGCATTTCATAGGGTTTTCTTAGGCAAAATTTGTTGTTGTTGTTGTTGTTGTTGCCTACCAAATACATACTGGTTGAAATCTGATATCTGGGTCTTGGAGCTGAAATCTCCACATGCAAAGTTGGGCACTGGTTGTGCTGCAAAACCTTGGTGCCGAATGGCAATGTTGCACAACTGAAGGCGCCTGCAAACCCGCATCAGCATGTGCTTCTGCATATATGCATAACAGCATCACATTTCATTTCATTCACCTTGCATTGAAAACCGATATTCTGCATTGGACAAAAATGTCCAACCGCTTCCAACGGGGTCATGTTGTTGTGTGTGTTGTTTGTCTTTAAGTCATCTCCATCTTATGGTGACCCCGAAGGTTCCTTCCTAAGGGGTTTTCTTGGCAGGATTTGTTCAGAGACGGTTTGCTATTGCCTTCAAGCCCTGGTCTTCAGAGTCATAGTCCATGCTCAAACCACGCTTGCGTAAAACACCAGCAGGAGTCCATCCCAATATTGGTGTCCTTCTCCCCCTTCCCAGTTAGAAATTCAAGTGGTTTCCCCATCTGTTGTGGCAAGAGGGAGCCAGCTTGGTATCTCTCTTGCTCAGTGCTATCGGTGGGAAAATGATAAGGCCAAAAAGGGACAAAGAGCCGTCATACGCTGTGCCAAGTGACTAAGGGCAAAGGCAGCCCCTGGGCTTTGGGATGGAGCCTCTGTTCCTCATTAGCCCCAGCCTTGACCTTGGCCCCCTTTGCTGGGAAACAGAATCCCATAACAACTCCTCCTGTGGCCAATGCTTTGGACCGGTAATCCATAAATATTGATTTGTTGTTTGCAGAGTAATTTAAATGTCAGTTAGAAAGCCAGGGCAGAGCTGTACCAACAATAAAACCACCGAGAAGGAATGGCTCCCAAGAGGAGGAGGAGGAGGCAGGAGTGAAGTTTAGGAAGGGAGACAGAAGACATCTGCTGGGTGGGAGTGGAAGGGAACAGCCTTAAATTGAAACCAGAAAGCCCCTGTTTGTGCTAGGAAACAAAGAATGGAACAATTTTGTGTGTGGATTTCCCTGCAACAAGCAACTCTCCTTGCTTTGGGGAACTTGGGTTATGTGCTCAGATAAAATCCTGCTGGTGTTTTGTTGCAGCTGTGTACCTTCAAGTCATTTCTGGACTTACAGCAATCCTAAGGTGAACCTACCACAGAGTTTCTTCAGAGGAGGTTTGCCATTGCCTTCCCTGAGGCTGACAACCAGTGCATTTCCATGACCAAGTTGGGATTTGAACCCTGGTCTCCGGCACCATAGTCCAACACTCAAGCCACTACGCCATGCCGGCTCTTATGTGCAATTTCCCCTAGAGAAAGGCTTCAGCATTTTTGTCTGGCAAAGAATGGCTATATTCAGTTCAAGATTGTGGAAACAGAGTTGTGGAGCCATTGCAATGCCATTGCACACGCATGTGCATTGTGTCTGCACATGCTCATTGTTATGGATATGCATCACACGCTTTATGTGCACATATTATTTCTGCAGATGTTATATTATAAAGTGGTGGCCTTCGAAATACAAAATCTTTCAGGGAGCTTGCCCAACCCTGGAGAAGTCCTGCTGGTGTCAAACAACATATTTGCTGGACTGAACCAAGGCACCAAATGTGCAACTGAATGCAGAACCAGGTGTACATGCACATTTACACACATTTACACACATTTGGAAGCTACCTGAGATGAGCATCCATCTATAATAGCCCTCTCCATGCCCTAGGCCACTTTCACAGCCTTGGGCTAAATGCATCTGTTCTATATCAGACAAAAATGTCCTACTATTTCCACAGGGGAACTTAGACACCATAAGACATAATGTGAGGCTCCATTATGGTGGGGCGGCAAAGTGTTTTGAGTGTTGGACTTTACAACTCTGGAGGCCAGAGTTCAGTCAAAGCTTGGCCATGAAACCCACTTGGCAAGTCTCTCAGCCACAGGGGAAGGCAATGGCAAACCTCCTCTGAACAAATTGTGCCAAGAAAACCCCATGATAGGTTCACCTTAGGGTTGCTGTAAGTCAGAAATGACTTGAAGTCACACAACAACAGCAAAAGATCAACAGGAGTCCATCCTGAGACCCACACTGCCCAGACAGTGCCAGGCTTCTCTTTCATGCTCATGAAAACTGAGGATGACCATCCCAGGTGACCTTTCCCTGCAAGGCTGATTGCAAGCCAAGGTTGTGTTATATGAAGGCAACAACTAACAAGACCTCTTGCTATTTCTCTCTCTGTGTGCTTGGTCTCTCCCTCCTTGCAGGCTTCCCCAGACAGGACCTGGCAAAACCTTCTGGAGTGTTTTCAGGAGTGATGCTGGCCGTATTTTATTCATTAATTTATTGCAGCCAGAGGACCAGTTCTGTGCATGAAGGATTAGATCTAATCTTCTGCATATTTTTGATATATACGTATAGACTTACAGGAGGGCAAAGCCAGAGCGGGAAATAATCCCTTAAAATTAAACATCATAAAATCGTTGGCTGCCTTGCAAAGGTTTTCCTCCACCTAGGGTGCTCCAGAGGGTTTTAGATCTTGGAAGCACCAGGGATGCTGAGGGCTATGAGCATTTGTATTTTTCGACAAAGGAGGATCCTCATTAAAAGCCTTTTTCTAAATGTCATCATAGCCTGGGCCAGCCATTCTTCTGATTTATAACACAAAAGGTGCTTACAAATGAGTCTAGCATTCCAGGATGGAGAGAACTGGGAGGAGACCAGACCACCAGACCTTGGGCCAAAGCTTGGAAAGAAATGGAATATAAAAATGCAAGGAGAACCAGGCCTTTCTGGGCTGCAACAAATCACTTCTCCAAGCTGCAGCAGATGACTCTCTAACCAGGGTTAGGCTTAGGGTTAAGGGCTGTAGACCTTTGAGTCTTCCGCTAAGGCATCCTTGACAGGTGACTGCCCAACTTTTGGTTAAAAACCTCCAGCAAAGAAGTGGCCAACTGGGTAATCCCTTCTGTTGCCAAGCAGCTGTGACCACACAAGGTCCTTCCTAACTCTATCTCTTTTCCTGCTGATTCCATAGTCCTCTTGGGAGGAGACGAGTGCGAATGAAATTTGGGGATTGGAAAGTGAGGGACAGGGTCCTTCATCCTCCTGCTCCAAGAATTGTTCAGCACAAAAGTCACAGGAGCCCCATTCTGGATCCAACCTGACACCCTACTTGTTATGAAACTGACTTCCAAAAAGCTTGGGTCTCATCTCAGCCAAGATTTATTTTTTTTATCCCTTGCCTCCCAGCTCAAGTTCTTCAGGGTTGTTTTCCTTTAGATTTATATGAAATGTCGAAGAAGCCAGAGTTTGCTACATTACAAAAACGAGGGTGGAACTCATGTGTTCTGAACATCTCTCACCCCCCTAATGACACCCCCGAAACCCATGCTGGCTTTTCAGTTCATGCTATTGTCTGCTCAGGTTTTGGAAATCCCTTTAGCACTTTGCATAGGAAATAAAAAAAAAAAAAGAGGGTTGTGAAATGCGGTCCCTACAGTCTTATCTGCCAATCTAGTTGGCTTCTCACCCAAAAAGCTCCTTTCGGCTGTGACAGCTTATCTGGAGAATGTTTCAACCCATAATGAATCCACCATGCCTTTTCATTTCTCTCCTTCTGCCAGGACAGACTTAAGTTCCTGTCTACCTTTCTTGCCTTCCAATGATTGCAATATCTTTTGGGATGGTAACCAAAGCATTGCAGAGTTCAGAGACAGAACATTGTGTCACGGGAACCGGTCCCTAGTTAATTGGCAGATTGTCACATTTCCGCGTGGAGGAACACCTGGAAATGAGATCAGTTTCTCGTAGCAAACTTGGAGAGACAAATGCTGCTAATATCGTCAGTACTCCAACCATCACTCAGCGTCCAAAAATAGAGCAGAGAGGATTATTATTAATATTGACCCAAATCCTCTTGGTGTCCTATACCCTCATAACTCTCTCCCCCCCCCCCCGCCTTCACACATGGCTGTACTCTTTTGGCTGTTGCATAAAGGAAATATCCAGTTCATGGTTGCACAACTGGAGTTCCATGAGTGTAAGTAAGCCTTTCACATGGGCCACATTCTTATTGTTAGTCCTGACTAGAGGAGAGCCATTGAGTCATAGACTTCCCTCAGTGCTAACTCAGCATTCAGCAGCTGACTCAGTGAGTCTATTCTAGTTAGCACAGGTAAATTATAGAATCTTAGAGTTGGAAGAGAACCCAAGAGATATCGAATCCCCTTCTGCCATGCAGGAAGACAGCATCAAAGCACTCCTGAAAGATGCCCACCCAATCTCTGTTTAAAGACCTCCAAAGAAGGAGAGTCCATGGTCCACCAAGGCAGACTACTCCATTGATGAACAGCTCTTGTGCTCAAGACATTCTTCCTAATGCTTTAGTGGAATCTCTTGTTATTTGAAGCCATTGGTTCATGTTCTGGTCTCTGGAACAGCAGAAACAAGCTTGCTCTATCCCTTCAGAAGTCTGAAGGTAGGTCTATCATGTCACCTCTCAGTCTTCGTCTCTTCTCCAAGCTAAACATCCCCAGTTCCCTCAGTCATTCCTCATAAGGTTTGGTTTCCAGATCTTTCCTCATCTTTGGTCTCTTTTCTCTAGACACCATCCAGGTTGTCCCTGTCCTTCTTGAACTGTGGTGCCCCAAAATGGACAGATGATTCGAGAAATGTGGTCTGATCAAGCCTACCAGATTCCAGCCATGCAGAGGCACATTCTTGGATGGTGTGTAACTATTCACCAATGCCTTCAGTGTCCCAATCGATTCCCTGGGATAGCAGAAATGGCCTTTGTGCATTGATCCCGGTAGCGCAATGGGGACAGTAACCAGGCATATGGGCAGATATGCCATCAGTTGTGTGAGCTGTTGTTGTGTACCTTCAGATTGTTTCCGACTTATGGTGACCCCAACGTAAACAATCATGGGGTTCTCTTGGGAAGATGTGTTCAGAGGAGTTGACACATAGGCAAATCCCACAGATTTAATAGTACTACTCTAGTCAAAAGTAACAATGGGATTCAGCCCTGTTATCTTAATTCTTTTACATGGATAGAGAGAGATCAATGGGGGATGGCTGAGCTGCACCGGGTCCATGGAGACATGGAGGTCTGTCCTCCTGAGGTTCATCTTAATGCCTTCCTCTCCTTTTCTCCTTCTCTACCTTTCCAATACTCTATGCTCTCCAGCACCATATGTGTCAAGCAGGCAGTTGTCAAAGGCACTAATCTGTTAAAAGCATGAATGTTGTGTTGATCTAGAGCCCAGATGTAATTAAAGTTGTGTTGTTGTTTTTAAAAAAGCTGTTGCTTGCATAACACCAAGTGTAAATAGGCATCCGCCGGCTTCTCTCTGCTCATTGTAATTTCCCCCTCTGCCTCTATAAGCTTCTGCATTGCCATCCAATTGGGTGAGGAACTAGAAAAGCAGACATTGCAACTAGGGATTGGGGTGAAAGACTGGTCTTCTTCTTTTTAAATGAAAGTAAGTAGTGGTGTTGCAGCCTGTAGTGTCTTCATTTGGGAGGAAGAAATAAAAGAGGAAGAAGTTCCCAGCCTCCCCCATCCCATCTCTGCACCTCTAATCTCTGCTGGAAAATCTGATTTGGGATGTAATTTGCATAGCATGTCTCATGATTTCATTTAATCTGCACAATCCTCTTACATGGCAGAACAGCAGAAGTTATCACAGGGAATGTGGTCGTTTAGGAGCTCCAAATCCACCCAGCCTTCCATCTTCTCTTGCCAAGAACATTAACTCTTTACTCTTCTCTTGCCAAGAGCCAGTAGGCTTCTCCAGCTTCAGCTCGCAGCCCAGCATTTAGGGCAACCTCTCCAAACTGGATGGATGCCCTCAAGAGGGTTTGGACCTCTGCCCCCATTACCTCCAGCTGGCCTGGTCATGGAATCACCCATAGAGTGATGCACCCATAGAGTTGGAAGAGGTTCCCAAAGGCCATCTAGTCCAAGCCCCTGCCACACAGCTAACATACGGCACTCCTGGAAGACGGACATCCAACCTATGTTTAAATATGACCACAGGAGGGCAACCAAAATGGTGAAAGGTCTGGAAACCTATGAAGAGCAGCTTAGGGAGCTGGGTATGTTTAGCCTGAAGAAGAGGAGGTTAAGAAGGACATGATAGTCTTGTTTAAATATCTCAAGGGATGCCATATTGAAGATGGAACAAGCTTGTTTTCCACTGTTCCAGAGAATAGGACACAGAGCAATGGATTCAAGCTACAGGAAAAGAGATTCCATCTCAACCTTAGGAAGAACTTCATCACAGCGAGAGCTGT